ATCTGTGTCTTGATGCATCTTTTGCATGATTAAGGTCTTAGAGGCAGGAACTTCCCCTTACAAAGGATCCTTACAGTGTTTGGTATGAAGGAGTCTAGTATCTCTGAAGTAATGATAAAAATGCAGGATGGAGGAATGCAGGGGAGAGCGGAATCGTTGACCTCACTGGAACTTAAATAAGTCAGTGGAAGATAGAGAATGCACTTGCTCTCTGACTGACCTCCAGTATGAGAACAGGGCAACGCAATGGAAGGTCAGCGAATATAAACAAGACATTTGATAGCACCTCATAAGGCAGCAAAGTGTTGCTTTACTTCACCTTGGAACGAGCAAGGCCATCAGGGTAAATAATGCCCAGTTCACTTACTGTAAAGCTAACAGAGCCCACATTTTTAGTTGCTGTAACAGAGCAACTCTCCTATGAACCCCTCACAGAAAAGGCAGGATGTGGGAGAGGAAGGTGTTATTAAAGGAGCTTTGTGAGCTTGTTATCTTGAGGCTTCTCAAACACAGCCTCATCTGATGCTAATTCTAGAGCGTTTAATGAGCATGGAGGAAATGGAGCAAAATGCAGAGCAGCAACGAGGAAAGGAAAAGCCTGACAGGTTCTTAACGTTCTATCCCTGCTCCACTTTTCATTGCTATTTTAAAAAGAAAATAATTGGGTTACAGGAAATATCCTGAAAGCTCTTCATGAATGTTTGCTGTTTAGGTGGACCTGCAGGTGAGCCCTCAGTAGTTATTTTTCATTGAGAAAGAGCCACAGTTTCTATCTCCTACATTTCTGTAGTATGAAAAGTTGTCCACAATCCAGCAATGACACTCTGCTAATGTTGAGGGTGAAGCAGTGGAGGTTTGGATGTTAATTGTTATCTCACAGCAGAAAATGGGATGGAGAGTTCAAATGGTTTAAAAGATAACTAATTTCTCACTGTGCATTTAAATATATCTCTCCTGTAGATTAAGAAACCAGTCCCAGCTTCTTATATGTATGGTAGAACATCAAGAGATGGGATTCAATCCCCCACTAAAATCTAATTTCCACCATGAGGAAACCATATGCACTTAGATAAGAAAGTTATAGACAGCACCTAACCCAAAGAAAGAAGTGACCCTGAGACATTGTTTTCAGAGGTAATACCTGGAGTTTAGTGGGATTTGGTGCTATAAAGGCACCATAACCAATATTGCCACCACAAGGATGGGGACTATGTCCGATTGCCTACTCTAGCTCTCATATGATCCTGCAATGTAATTTCTTCTACTGATGTGACTGGGGGCTCTGTGAATAACGATAACAACCTGTAAATATCATCCAGTATCAACCTTGGCTTCCTTTCTAACTTTCAAAGTCTCTTTTCTGAAAACTTCCTAACTATCAATTACCAAGGATATGCTTGGCTGCATAATTAGGATGAAGGACAGTTGTTCAGAAGGCGACTGTTATTTTTGTATATATATTGTAAGATAAAACTTCCTTGTAAATCAATCATAAATGTCCTGTCAGTGATTTATGACCAGTATAAAGAAACTGAGAGATGGGTTTGAATGCAGATTTTGTTGCAAATTACTTCCTTGAATTTTGTCCTAAATACAAGCATTTACTATTATTAATAGTCTGCGCACATCACACTGAAGCAAAATGGAGCACAACTCCTTAAGACAACCAGTGTACTTATTCAAAACTTTCTTGCATAACTTCCTCCATGTGGACATATATTATTAATCTTTTGACAAGGAGAAGGATCTTGATTCGTCCCTCTCTTAGCACTAAATGGAAATGCAATTCTGGAACAGAGCATTGATATTGTACATATGCAAAGGAGGTGAGAATCAAGGTCTTTAAAAAAACTTGGCTTTGATAATATTCAGCTTTGTGGACTTACACAGATTGCAGCAGCGCTGAACTGATCCACTGTAGACCAAAGTTCTAGAGATAACACCCTCCTGAATACAAAGTCTGAGTCTCTGCTCTCCTCTTAGTGAATATTCATTTACCACCTGGACAACATGATACAGTAATGATAATTCAGGAGGCTGATTTTCACTGCAGTCATTCAGCTGTATCAGCATGCCTTTTCTTGATCAAGTTGAATGCACTAATGCTGTTGTTTGCTCGTTACCAGATCTGATCAAAGTATTTCTAACATATTTTCCTACTGTTGTTTTTTTTTTTTACATGGGAGATGCTTTCCCCGTAATAAATACTCATATTTCTGTGAAACTCAGCTTTTTATGTAACCTTTTACTAAAAGCACTGCATTTTGCTTCCTTGACTTTCTGTCAGAATTCTTCTTTCAGTAAGTAAAAACTCTGATGAAGATTTTAATACCTTTTATCTTTTTTTATCTCTCTGTTTATCTGGGAAGCTCAGTACAAATGTAAAAATATGTCCATTTTAAGGTTCAAAATGGAAACTGAGACATCACCATTTTTGTCAAATTGCTTTCTCTATCTTGTCTAATTAGCCAGCTGTAAGAGCAGAATGTCTCTTACAGCTCCTTGTGTGTTCTGAATTAGTGTAATACTGCCGACATTACCACGTTTTTCATGTCCTACTGAGCTTTTGTGGTTTTAGGTTTCCTAATAGAAGCGTTAGAGGGCCGCACTTATAAGCTTGTCCTGATTTATGAGTGCATTTTATTGGAGGGGAGATTAAATTGTGGTGGGTTGGATCTCTTTGGGTTTCCTCGATAACCTCTGATTAGTTTTAATACAGGTAGCCCTCACAGTATATCAAAAGTCTCAGCTGGTGTGCAGCAAAGTAAGGCTTGACTGGTAGGCGAGCTTTCCTCATATGGTAACTCATTAAACTGAGGAGATTATTTATGATGTTTGCAGTCACCCCAGCTGATGGTGTCATTTGAGGAATCTCAAATGCTCCGAATAGAGTAAGAAATATTTGATAGTTCACAAGTGACTCATTAAGATCTGAACAAGTTCAAAATATGCTTTCCTGAGGAAAACTCACTGGGGGATGAATGTGAAAATCGCTGGGCAAGACTTAGATACTGCCCAATGTTTGCAGAGCATCTGAACCCAGTCTGAAAGAGGAAATTTACAGCAGCAGTTTGGTCAGTCCGTCACCATTCTGTTATTTAGCATCTGCAATACATTACATTATAGCTCTTTCTAGCATGCTTTGGTGTCCGTGCTAATAAAGTATCAGTGCTCAGATATACTTGAATTCATTCACTATCCTGCCATTCTTAACAACTCACAACTGTACTATTTATGCTTCAAAAGAAAAAACAACCCCAAAATCCTTCTGTGTCCCCCACTGAGCTGGCCTGCCTCCTCTGAGCACCTATATAGCCATGCCAAGGGGATCCTGGCCATTCTCTTTGTGGTATGTGATGTCTAGTCCATCACTCAGCTAGCAAGCAATACGAGATGAGGTCTTTACTCATGTTTTCTGTTAAGTGGCTAGTGCGCAGGGGAGGCAGAGGGGGATATTAAATAATAATGACAATAATGATACATCTGATAGAGTTCAGTTCCGCTTTAGCACTAAATGGAAAGCTGAAAGCCTCCCTATGGATCTTCTCCATCTTGAGCACCAATGATTGTAACAGATGCATCAGTTTTTAAATTAATGGCTTGCATGATAAATAATACTGATACATGTGTTTAGGAAATCTGTGCCCAACTGGCATGTTTTGGTTAGCTGCCAATGATGACACTGTCACATCCATAATGTAACTCATTAAATGTATAGATGCGATCTACTCTTTTAATTGGAGCAAGACAACATAGATCTGTTAATATGGCACATGTCCTTTACCTCCAGCTTCATAAGAATATTATGAAATAAAATCAGTGAACAAAGGACTTTTAAACGACCTGCAAACAGCAAAGGATTCATAAAAAACAAAACAGGAATGAGGAAACACCGAAGATGGAAACCACTGATCCATTTAAACACAGATGAAACGATTTGTCAGTGCACTGGAAAGAAATATTAAACAGATACAAGCTATTAATTTCAACCTGAGGGTCAGCCTGGGAGTGCGAGTAGCATGTAAGGTTCAGGTTAAACGTTCACAGTGGGGAGGATCCCACCATAAATCACAGCTTCTTATTCTTCTGGGGGATGTTGATAGAGCTCATGTAATAACTAGAAAATGCTTTGAACAGATGAAAACGTTTATAGAAAGGAAGGACAGATTGGAAGGTGGAAAGAGTTAAAAAATTACAAGGAAAGCTAGCAATGGCAAAATTAGAATGAAGAAATATTGATCTCTCTCATTTATTTCTCTACAGGGGGAGGGCATTGAGAGGTGAGATTGGTCTCGATGAAAAATACTGTCTGTGCTATTAGAGCTTCTCATGGGAGCAGAGACCGTCCTGCTCATAAGGCAGCATCTTATATTGCAAACTCCCTGTGGGCTGGAGTCTCCTGGTCATTTTTTATGTCTGTATGCTGCTAGAGTATTCGAGCATCTTCCATGCTGAGCTTAACAAATATGAAGCTTTTACAAGACTTGAGGTTGTCACTGGCTCATCCCTCATTTTGCGGTACAAATTCTCTCCTCAGTGCTTTTGGAGGGGAATGAGGATGCTGGGAAAAGCTGTATGAGCAGTTAATGTGAGGAATTTCAGCCTTGATACCTCTATTCTGGGCACTCCTTCACCTGAAGCAGCATTTGCCTCCTCTCAGCTGCCTATCCAGCCAACGCTTTGTCCTTGTCCTTAAGAACAATAAATTTAAACTGTACAACAAATCACTACCTTTGTCTGCAGGGGACAGTAAATGCCACTCGACTCATACCTTACTGCTCCTTCAACTATCCCATGGCTTAGTACTAGAAATAATGATGTGAATAACTCTATGTCAGCCTTTTCTGTCATGATTAAGACTGTGCCAGTCATAAAGGTCACCATATGATAGACTACAGACCACAGGTCTCCACAAGCCAGTGTGACTAACACATTAAACATTGGATTGCGGCTTGGTTAAGTGACTAGTGTAGTGTGAGAAATGAAATCAATTCACTCACCCTGGTGAGAAATGAGTATTCATTGTTGGCTGTGTTCGGATGGCTGAGAGTCTGGAGTGCCATATCTTCATGTCCATAACCTAGATGTTGCCTTAAAAAAATAACCCTCAAACTCAGTAGCAGCGGCAATGCTGAACACTTATTCCTGCAAGTCTTTGAGTTCATCAACATACTTGATTTACGAAGCAGCAGTATCCTCCTTGGAGGTCTTGAGCCATCCTGCCGCTGCCATGAGGAGCCTGCTCTGCCCGGGCACCGATTCCAGCATCAGTATAACAACAGTACTGGAGGAGATTTGTGGTGCTCTGCCTGGAATAAATACCACCAACAAAACTGTTGTAGCTGTTTCAAGGGGATTGTGTTTCTATCCTTCATGAGAGAAATATTCAGGTACAGCTAGATGCATTTTTATTGACTTGCACATCGTATGGAACAAAGGCATTTATCCCCCCTCCCCACCCTTTCTCCTTTCCCAATCTTCCCCATTTTGAACACGTACCTTGCACCAAAACAGACAAATCTATAGCAGGCAATTTCAATAATCTCAGTTACTGTGATACCATGTTACATCTTGTTGAATCAGAATTAAACATAGATGTTTATAGAGAGCAGGTTAATGTCTGTTGCAGCATCTATTTCTCAGTTGTATCCTTCTCTATTTGGTCTTCAAAGGCAGTTCGATTTTTTCTTCTGCATTTTATTTCAGTTTCAAAGGTGCCTCAGTTGAGCAAACAAATAGGATTTCAGATTGATCTTATCTGTTTACAGCAGGTTGATCGTGAGTTCGGAAGCATCACTGTTTAAAAAAGCATTGAAGTTGTAGTCATGAATAGTGGAGTGGTCTTGAAAGCAAAGAGAAGTGCTGAAGCATTTAGCATCTGTGCTCCTTGAGTATTGATTTACCAGGTCAGTCTTAAAGGCAGCTTCTTCCTTAGAAGAATAGTATGTACAATACTGTATACAATATATACAATACTGTAAGTCCAGACATGACCTTAAAGCTTGGCCCTGCCTGAAAATAATTAATAATAAGAAATAAAATTGTATTTGTGTAACCTTTCTATAGAAAAAGCCTCTAATTGGCACAGGTACTGGGGCAAAGAAGCACTCAGAAGCAGCATTGATAACAATTCACACTGGGACGTTGCTCGCTAAAGGGCAATCACTTCCTTTATTAATTGCTTTAAAAATAAGATTTGCAGAATCTTATTATTATAGGACTCTAATGATTCCTGTTGTATCTCTGGCAGTGTTTCCACTGACTTCAGAGGGGGAAAGTTATGCCCTCTCTTCTAGCACAAAAATCAAAGCCACGGCTTGGATGGCTTCAGTCCTGCCTGGTTTTGGTTGTACAGCTGTTGAAAAGGCGAGTGTGGCAAAGAGGTGCCGAAGCCACAGTTCTTGTTATTGGCTGCTGTGCTGAAAACACGTTCATTGCACACACCTCAAAAAGCGCAAGGGAGAAAATTTAGTCTGAGTATGTTTTATTTCTTTGTGCAAGTTTTCTTCCTCTGTTACAAGAAACTTTTCAGTTGTTTAACAAAAAAGTCACCGAATGTAATTGTTAAAACAAGCAGTGGGAAATGCAGCAGCCTGACAAGAAACTACATGTCTTATTTATCTCCACTGAAGTCGCTCCTTCAGGAGGCACACACTGGTGACATGTATTGCATTGGAGCGTGTGCCTCTGATGTTTGTCAGAGGTACTTCCCTGCGGCTCTGCAGCAATTTCCTCACCTCTGTAAGTCCTAAAGGTAAATGCAAACCCAGAGCTGGACTAACCTATGAGTCTTAGCAGAGACTTATTCCCCCTGCCTCCCTTGCTATTAATGCTGAGGCAGAAATGAAGCAGGTCTGGAAGAACTGGAGATCTGTGGGTGGCCTCCTGACTGTAGGAAAAGTAAATCAAAGCTGAAGGAATAGTTATCCCTGGGGAAGAGAGCTGGTGCTTATAAGCTTTCTTTGCAGATGCTTGCAAAACTGCCCCAGTGGAATGTATAGTGCAAGGTCTTCAAACAGCGAGCTTTGGCTGGAATAGAGATCAGAACAGATAAGACAAGAAGAAAATAATGTTTTGGGTACATTTATTTCATGGAAGTGGCAGTATAAAATTGGATCCTGCTTAACCAGATTGGAATTCTTCTGTGCAATGATTTAACAGCATGCTGATGTGCTGATAGCATTTGCCGTCAGCTTAGTGAATGCTGGTACACCATGCTCCAGTCCTACAAAAATTCCTTCGTTTTCGCAGATAGCTATCTGAGGGCATCGAGGCTCATCCGAGATGGATGGCTTCTTCTTTTGAAGACCCTAGCTACTATTTTGATCAGCACAGTGTAAAAAACCTGAAGGGAATTTAAATCATATTTAAATTATTTCTTCGATTTTGCTCTCATTATGTATATTGGGAGGAGAGGGAGTGAGCAAATACTGAACAATATTGCAATTATACCTTCAGAGGGTTTGGCTTATGTAGGGCAACTGGGCCAACAGATGGTGAATGCAATTTGATGTACCAAAGTATGAAATAACTGATCTGGACAGAAGGATTAAACTGGGGTGTGTGTATAAATTGAACATGGATCATGAAAAGTATATTGGGCTATTATGGGAAATCACTGAAGCCTGAGCACAGATGCTGCAAAAGACAGCAAATCAAACTGCACTGGCACAGCAATAGAAACAAAGACAAAAGGTGAGAGTTTTATTGTTTTAGTCTTTTGTGAGTGATGCAGGCTGGAAGGAGAGAGCTGCCTTGGGGGAGGGCACTGAAGGATCTGGTCAGGAGCAGAAAGTTCACAGGGGCTGGGCTGATTTGTGTGGTAAAATACAAGGCGATGTGATTTTAGAGAACCACCTTGAAGGAAAGGCTCCATCAGGGCACTGCATCTCTTACACTAGCGCTTGACAAGACAGAGCATCATATTAGTGTTGGCAGAAAGGCCTGGCTGAGACAAAAAGGCCAGGCTGCCTCTTCCAAAGCATAATGCAAGCACAGAATAAGTAAAATGAGGACACGCATTTGAGAGCACTTAATGGGAAGCACCAAATTTTTAGCTGATAATAGCCACTTAATCAAACAGCCCTTATATAAAGTCCTTCTAATCCGAGCTCATCAGCTGAAGCTGTGCATCACTGGGGTGTTCCCAGGACAGAAGTACAGTTCAGCTGACAAAGATGACTAAAAGATATCAGGAAATTTGGACAGTGCTTCTAGCTGTGCTGCTCACTTTCTAAGGGAATGTGTGCACCAGACATTGGTGCATCAGTGGGGATCACCAAGGAAGTGCTGGTTCCTAAGGTGGGCTGGGGCACAGCAAACATCGATGTGACTGCACTGCTTTGGGAGTCACACCTCTGCCTCTGTGCTCTGCACAGAGCATGCATTCTCTGCAGCAGGACAGCCTGCTCTGGATGTGCCTGAGATGACCACCTCAACCCAGTTGACCCAGCTGTACTCAAACAAAAAAGTATTAACCTGTTTGAGGTGGGTTTTATGAAGAAGCTGACTGGGATGTCAAAACTGTCCCTCCCTCCTTTAGGAAAGAGCGCCTCAGCGTATGCATTACCTATGCCTGGGACTGCAGAATAGAGGCTATGTGGAGCTTTTGCTGTGATCCAGAAAGGTATCCTGTCTTACCACTGGGGAGGTTCAATATGGAAGGACCCCTGAAGGATTCCTCGGAAGAAGGGGAAGACTGTGGGATATCTGAGTTGCTGAAGTAGCTCACTGCAATTCTGTGTATGTTCAAATAATGATAAATTGAATATGCTACACCAGAAACCCATGGCCAACCCTTCTGCCTAAACCCAGAAACACTCTTGTGCTCACCATTAAGGTCTTCTAACAGAAGTGTGGTGCCATAGAGTACCTGCTGCTCTGAACTTCCATGGCACTGACATCCTACCTGCTAGTATATAATTGTATATGGCTGCCTGGACCAGCAAGACATCACATTTCCCTTATTTCCTAGCTGGCTAAGTTACTTTTGGCTGGATGTTTGGTGGGTGGAGGATTGCTTCAGTTCATTTCCTACCCGTAACCGAGCGAATAAACTCATTTACTCTTAGGGCTCCGATTAGCAGAACCCATATTGAGGCACGAGAAAGTTCTTGTTTGCTTTTTCACCCACTCACAGCCACAGAGTCCAAAATCAAATTAAACCTTCACCCTCAAAATGTGTCCTTTTCTGAGATGCATTTAATTCCTGCAAAGGCCCTAGGAGTGCTGAGGAGTCAGAACGGTGCCGCCTGAAGGGCTGAGGCACAGTAAAAACCTGACTTTAGATTTCATGGCAGAAATAGAAAATAAGAGTGTTGGAGAAAATCAGTTTAAAGCAAGTAAAAATGGATATTTCTAAAAAATAGTTTTCTTTAGCTTTGGCTTATTTACCGTTATAAACTTTTCTCCCTTTTCAAAAAATACACTTCTAGCTCTATTTTTCAGTAAAAATTCCTGTCTCAGCATGAAGAGACAAATCTTTTCAGCTTAAAAACATACCCCTGAACCTGGCATACTTGCAGTGAGGCATTTTGTTCTAAAAAAATGTGAGCATGAAAGTTAGGGCATAAAAATTGCTCCCTTCACTTTTTCCAGCCTTCACTGTGAGCCGGTCAGCTCAATTGCATTGTCTCAGTGCATCTGAACTGCTATTTTTCAGAGACATTCTCTTGCTGAAATTACTTCAGCTGGATCGTTCCCTGGAGCCCCCAAATCCTTCAGTTCTAGTCCCATTTTGTCTTCTTTTTTACCCCCTTCTTTCAAATCTGGAGGCTGACAGACTAAATGGAGAAATTTGCTAACTTGTTTGACTATTTCTTGTTCTTTCTCTTTTCTTCTCTCCCTCCCTCACAGGTGATCTCCACTCTCCTACATCCCCAAAACCTGCTGCATCTGGAAAGAAGCCATCAATCTAGAAGGCAGGTCAATAATATATGAGGCAGGAGTATGAATAAAGTTATAGTAATTAAGGTGGAATCCTGAAGCAACAGCAACACTTTAGGGATAGGTTTGTTAGCTTTAAAAGAAACTGCAAGAGTATGCTCAGACCTGAGTAGATATTCCCTGGGTAAAGGATGTGTAAAACATTGTAAGTGTTAAGCTCAAAAGGAAAAGCTTCAGTAGGGGCTGCTTAGCTCTTAGGAAGGACCAAGAAGGATTTAATTTAGATTTAATGTAGTGAGAATTTTCTGGTTAAGAGATTTTACCTGCAATCTCTGAACCTTTGCTTTTAGAACAGGATTCACTAACATGCCAACTATCCAAACCTGTCTGCAGGTGGTACGTATAGACCATGACAAGTACAAGCCATGCAATGATGTACAGGACAGAAACCCTATTGTTATCACTAAACTAAAGCTAAGCGCCTACACCAACAGAGAAAACCTGTAGCATGGGTACCAAAGCAGGTCCTGAAAGGAATTTAAAAGGCATATATCTCCTTACGGAGATACTAATGTGGATCCAGTGACAGCAAAGCCATGTTAATGTGCTGTAGCACGTCAGCAAACAAGAGTGGGTTATGGTTTCCTGAGCTGGCCTCACTGCATGGGTACAGCTTAAGCTTCTCTGCTCCTTTAGGCACCCTTCCATGCCAGAATTGGCAGTGTCACTGTTCTCACTGTAAGTCACATTCCATTACAGCAATGCTGTGCAACCCAGTCCTGGAGGAAAGCTCCAGTGCTCTAGGGATAAGTAACAATGCATATTTATCCCCCAAACCTGTTAGCCTCGTAGCTGTGATAAATGCATTCAAATCTGGAGGGGAAGATGACAGCAATTCTGCTCTCCCAAATGCCTAACCATGCTGCCCTTAAGCCTTCTCTTCAATTCACCATACCTTCAGCGCTGCCTGCTGTCTCATGTGTAATCCAAATAGACCTTCCCTACTCCCTGAGCAGTACAGGCATGCTGTTTGTGTATCTCCAACCTGTTCTGATCACCATTCAGAACAAGCAGCATTTCTGAAGCGTTCAGCATCTTCGCAGCATTACACAAGCGTTAACTTGCATCAGCTCTCCAGCCAGTCAGTGCTCCTTGACATAAATTTGGTTCTTGTAGTTTTAGTATGAAAGGTTGAGAGGAAAAAGTGTTGGCACAATCCTCTCACAGGCAGAAAGCCAAATCAACTGTGGAAAATCCAAGCGGGTATAATGAGAGGTAAAGATCACCTTTGCTCATACTGTCAGTGCAAGAACTCCAGTTAATATTTAAAGACACGAGCCGCTGTTCCTCATGCAATGTTTCCTATTCTGCACAGATAGTATCTTGCAAAACGTAACCATTAAAAATATATAATTAAAACAAAACAAAACCACTTTTTGCCTGTATGCAGTATCAATAAAATAAAGTCTGCACAATCCCACATCCTGACCATACTCCCTGATGTCAACCCAGATGAAGCATCTCTGTCTTCCAGAAGAAACAGAATGTTGTCAGATCTGTCACCTTCAGGAAACGTAACAGCCTTTTTTTCTTTCATTTGCCCATCTCTGAAGCACCTCTCGCTTCAATGATTCCCATTTTGATGATTAACCAGCCCATTTTCAAACACCTAGAAAATGGCTTTTCCAAACGGGGAAGGGTCTGGATATTAACTCCAGCAGCATCATGTTCAAATACAGACCCATTACTGCTGTTCGTTAATCATTTTGGAGACAGTGTCTTCAAACATAATTGTGCAAGGACTCTCCTCTGAGTTTACAGAATTGTTTATAGCTTCTTCTGTACTACCAGTGAAAAGCAGTATCAATGTTCATTGATACATTAAACGCTCAGGCTTCATTCTGAACTCTTCTGCTGAAGCATAGCAAGATATATCGAAAGCACTGCTGTGTGCTGCCTGCTGTACCTCCTCAAACTCATCTTCCCTGCCAGGCTGGATGAACGGGGTGCAATCATTTGCATTTTTAAATGAAGTCAAAACACAATGAAGAGAAGCTTGGCTTTCTACAGTGATGTGCTCAGTGGTGGGATTCTGTTGTATTTTGAGAGGTTTAAACTCTGGCACAACCTATTGGTGTCTCTTTTCTGAGCACATTGCCTAATGGTCTAATAAAGATTAAACCCTTTCCTTCAGCTGAAATTTGGCTCAGCTGAAAGCCGGCAGAATTTGACCCACAGGTTTCACAGTTTGGGGGCAGGTTAGAGGCAGACATACAAATACACAGAATGATCTCAGGAACTTTCAGCAGCTCAGCAAGAAACAAACAGTAAAAATACAGCAAACAAAAAAATGCTAAATTCAGAGAAATCAGGATGAATATACCCATACACTACACGCATAGGGGTCATCTCAGGAAAACCTACATAACTGGATGGATGTTCCTGCCCTTCTCCTTTCACCCCTTATTGTTTTGCAGCCACAACCAGAAATGAGCCTCCCCCCTTCCCCAGGGTGAATTCAATCTCCCACCATGTCAGCAGCTGGCACCTCCTCAGCACTCTCAGAGAGATTTTGGGCACTGCCAAGACTATTCGCATTGCCAGAGGAAGGATTATTATCCGCTGAATCAATGAAACCTGTGTCAAACTCAACTGTCCTTCCAATACTCTGAGCACTTTATTGCTGCATGTGTCTGAGGGAATGGGAACTGTTTGGTATTAAATACTGAGGCACAACCTATGCGCTATTGCTGCAGGTGTTGTACGCTCTAGTTTGGAGTTACCTACATGGGAACCTGAAATAGACACAGTAGGTATTTGTAGTTGTTGATGCGTAAGTTTTGAGCTAATAAAGTGAGGGGAAATACTCCCTTTCTGGAAATGAAAGGACAGTCACAAAGCTTAAAAACTCTACAGTGGCACTGTCTGGGCTCGAGTTATAAACCAGCTACAGCGTTAAAGCTGCATGCGGAAGTTTTTCAGGTGACCTCAGCAGAGGGAAGTTTGCATAAGTTCCCCTTCCATTAATGCTTTATCCAAACACATACTCACACATGCTACATGAATCCTGGCAGTTGGCCTCCTGAGTGGAGAGGGCTGAACACATGGCAGGCACTGTGTGTGAAGTATACTTTGCCCCAAGCTGCTTGAAATCCCAAAGATTTCCAAGAGAACTGCAAATGTTAGGTTGGCCACTTCCACCCTACGCAGTAATCCAAGTTCTCCCTCTAAATTCTGCCAGTATTTTTAAACAGGGCTGGAGCAACCCATATCTATAAATACTCCTCTTCCACACCAATATTTGAGATTCCAGCTGATCAAATTATCTCTGTTAATGCACTGTTTTATTTATTAGGTATTAATGTTTTTCAGTACCGATGTCTTTTCTTGCCCTTCTTGTCATTGCCAGGTGACTCTTACTAGAACACAGTTGGACTACACGGATTTACGGAAGAAACGTGTGTTTTTCCCAAACCAAGAGTCCTGTAGCTCACAGCCTGCAGTGTTTCCAGGATGTGAAATAACACAGTCAGCAGGAGAACATGTCAGTCACTAGCACAAGCCAAAAATAGCATATGTAAGGCCAGACTCAAAGGGCTAAAATGGTGCACTTAGAGCAGATGTTTAAAGGCTTGTGCACAAGCTATAGGCTTATTAGCCAGCCTGGATCAACTGCAAAAGGCCTCTGGGAAGTATTAAAACTCTTGGCTAGGACACTCACTCCTCTGTTGGCGGCACTGGAGATGATTCATACTTAATAGCAAAAATAAAAGCATTAACCTGGGCTGAAGACTTGCTTAGAGTTCTCCTGGACATGGCGTTATTCTTGTTTGGGGCCAAGTGCTCGTGAAGTGCAATAGGAATTTGATCTCAGGAAGAACTAAACAGGGATATTTATGGCTCAAGAAAGTGTTGTCTTAAGGAAGATCTGGTAGAAGCAACTGCTTGATAAATGGAGAAATTCAGGAAGGTAATAGATGGGAGGTTTTACAGCTGTAAAAGACAGTATATTAAAAAGTATCTGAAGAAAGAAGACCAGGAGATTCCTGGTTGAGACGGCCTTGGTGGCAGGACTCAGCACACTGGCAATCCCAGCCTCATTTTGCCTCTATTCCCATATCTACAGAAACACCAGACCCTGACACATTTTACTTCAGTGAGAACAGGCTGTATTGATAACTTTGTCTTTTTTTCCCATTCCTCCAACACAGTATAACGATAACATTCCCTGAAGAGCAAACCATTTCCTATCTACCTTTACTATTTCTGTAGCTTTTCTTTTGTATCTTTTCTAGCTACAAAACTGTCTTTTGCTTGTTACCGTGGCAAGAAGGTGCCTTTATGTGCCATTCACAGTGAGAAACCAGAAGCCCTAATACTCCACTTTAAAATTTTTACAACCTAAGGTGTGAAAACATTAGCTAATCATGAAGGAGAAAGCCAGCTTTCACCCTGAGGTATGGATGCATGGAGCCAAGTTCCTCAGTCACTGAGCTTTGGCCAAGCAGCATCACTTTTTATTTGGTTTTTACTTCTTTCTTTTCTCGCCATCACAAGAAAAAAATACCATTGAAGCTTTTGCTATGTGCCAGATTCTGCAAGTAAGAGGCCGGGAGTAATTACTTCGTTAGTTTCCATGCCCTCCTTCCCACACCTATGAAGAACGGCACGTTATAAATAAGGTTAGTTGGGCTCAGCACTGAATGCACAATTTAGCTGGGTAAAGAACAGAGAAGAAAAAGATCAGGATAGTGGAGGAAAAAGATTGGGGATGGTGGAGGAAAACAAAATAATAGGGGGTTTTTATTTTCTCTCTTTCTTTTAACAGAAATGAGTCACATTTATTTTCTCTGGCCTTAACTGAAGCGAGGCAAGAATTTGGATGCCTGCTGAGGGAAAGTCCATAGTGGTGGTGCTTGCTCTTGGTCCTGTGAAGAATAAGGAATATTTTCTGATACAAACCAACCACTGTAGTATTAAAAACTCCACCTAAATACATGAAATTGTTTTCTGACCTGTCTGGCATGGCTATGTGAGAGCTCTTCCGAGGATAGATAAGAGAAGGTAGGGTATTATGGAGCTATTTTCTTGCACAAGAGGGCAGAGACTGAGAAATCATCACTGGTACAGCTGAAAAGATCAAGTTAAGTACTGGAACGAAAGCCCACTGAGGAATTAATTTGCAGACCTTCCAGAGAGTAAGAAAATGAAATCTAGCTAAATGAGTTATTCATATCTTCCCCCTAACAGTAGTAAGCATGATATACTGAATTGCAATACAATGATGTGCTCGCATACCATCAGTGTGTTAGCTGGCTCATTCATACTAAAGCAAGGTTGTGGGTAACAAGGAGCTTTCATTAAAGGCTGATCTCAAAAGGAAGTGGGTTTAGTCAGCACTTACCTTTTTCAGGCACTCCTAGTAAGACATGAAGCTTGCTTGAACTGGGAGGGATACCCTGGGAAGCCTGGTGGTACAGACAAGCCAAGACGTCTGCCTGCTGGTGGTGTAGAGTATAAGGATGCTGTCTGTGCATTTTGTTCTTCCAACACATTAGCTCTAAGTTCCTGTCAACACCTGAGCTACATTGTTCTGATTGGATTTAGCACCTGGAAAAGATTCCTTTCAAGAATGAGGAACCAGCAGTACTGTGTGGTGCAGCTGGTGTCATCCTAGGAGTGAGAAAAGAGGCTGGCAGAAAACAAGGGTTTGACCTATATAGAAAGATCCATCTGTCCAGGGAAATATTCCTATACTTCCTAGGGTCAGCTTCCTCACCCACTTCACCTGCTGGTGCTCTGACAGCTCTGCGGAAATGCTCTGTGCTTTTGTCAAAAGGATCTTCTTTTCCCCTTCTAGAACCCCTTTCTCCCAAGACTGTTGCCCAAAGTGTGGTGCTAGGGGAGGCTTAGCCATCCAGACCTACCATCCTCATGTTGTTTTCAGCAGCATTCCCAGAGTTCCCTTAAGGCTGTCCTGCTCATTGCATTGCCTTGCTGGCTGGGTTTTTTTCTTGCCTTCCTTTTTTCCTTCAGCTGCCTGCAGTTCACATGAATTGCTGTATTAATGAATGGGCCTTTCCCTGCACCAGTCAGAGAAACATATGGAAAATGGAGAAATAAATGACAAAGCAACCCCACATCTTTCATACCGTCATTGGCCTTCATATCTTGCAAGAGAGGAATTTCCTCCAGCTGGTTTCATCATGGTTGAATGATCTTCAGTATTAGATGCAGGGCAAAAGTTAGAGATCATGCCACCAGAATCCTTTGTACCTAACATTACAAATGGCTCACCTGCAAATGGAACCAAATATCAGAAGATTATATCAAATAAATGAAGATGTCACCACACCTACTCATGTGGAGCTCAATGTCCCAGGCCCTCTCTCTTATTATTTCAAAAGCACTCCCATTTCAAAAGAAGGTAGATCTTTTTCCTCCTCAACAGTAGGGAAACTGATGCTGTAGAGCTGAAAACACGATTATGGTACACGCTGTGTGAGAAGCAGCCACTTGCTGCCTTGGAAACCTTGAAAAGACCATGTCTGTGTTTCTAGTTTCTCTTTCACCCTCTAATTATGTAAGCCCCACTTATTTAGGTTTGGATTCAGCCTGCTTTTCTTCCTAGTATCCATTACACCATTAGGCTGTTGCAATGTCAGAATGACCTCGTGGGAGGGTAAAAAAAATTGGGGTCAATGGAGGAAGCAGGATGTTTTTCCTGGATCAGTGTTGCTATAAGTGGGGTACAATGGAAGAAATTCACCCTGTCAATGGTGGTGCCAGTGTTACAGCAACAGCCACCCCTCCCGTTCAGCCATCAGCGTGGCTGAACTGGTAATTTAGATGTAATTGGGCACCACTGATTTTATTTAATGGGGCTCCTGATAAATAGCTCTCCTGCCTAATTGGTACAGTTACTAGAGAAGGGACTGGCCCAAAGCACGAAGCAATACAGGCACCTAACTCCCACTGAAATCAATTACACTGAAATCAATGAGAGTTAAACAGCTGAATAGCTTTAAAAATCTGGCCCCCTGATGCACCCCAGAGCTATAATTTATCAGAACACCAAATAAATGGCATGCCTGGTTGGTTTCAATGGGTGTGATTGGTTTATTAGAGTTATTACTGGAAAGCCCCCAGCTTTTAATACATGTCCCCTGTCATTTTTCCAGAAACTGAGTCTGCTGATGCACAAGTGAAAAGCAAATGTATTTGAGTTCAGCTCTGCTTCAGATGGAGATCAGGTGGTGTCCAGCCTATCTTTTGATGTGGCTGTGATGAGAAGGGGATACAGGGTTAGACATACCTCTGCTCTCATCCCATGCAGCCATTTGTGCAAGTTCTTAGCAGGGCAATTGATTTGAGGCAAAAAATCTGAGGTCTTTGACCCATCAAAACTATCCTGAACGTCGCTGGGCACAAAATCAGCAGTGACCTTGAGGATGGAGACTTTTCTGTATACTGCAGTGATGTGAAACCAGCTGTGCACTGAAACAGGAGACTAGCATGAGCGCTTTATGCTTTCAAAGAAAAAAGATAATTCGATTAGGGTGTACTGGTGCTTGCTGTCATGACCTTATTGCTAAGCAGAGTATCTTATCTTTCTGTGTCGTAGAGTGCTTCGCTCCTTTGCATGTTACTGCATTCCTCAGTAGCACCAGATATTAAACTATGTCTCAGTCCCTACATCCCTCAGAAACTGAGTCACACCAGGACTGCTACAGGAAGGGCATTTGCTTCTACACGGGTCAGTATTTAAAAGTGCCCTGCAGTGAACATTATGCTAATAAATGACTGATTATGTCCCACTGTAGTAACACATTACCATTGTGTTTGGGATTTTAATCACAGCACATTTCAGTCAATTTCTGCCTACTCTTCCATTTCCTCATGCCCGTTGGTCCTTTGGCTTAAGGGTCTTCTCAGAGTTGTTAGTTAAGAAGACATAAGAAACCCTATTTCTTGATGTGGGGGTTGGGGTGACAGTATGCCAAATGGCCTTGGAGGAGGACTAGCTGTCGTGGTTTAACCCCAGTGGCAACTAAGGACCACACAGCTGCTCGCTCATTCCCACCACCCTCCCAGAGGAATGGGGAGGAAAATCAGGCGAAAAAAGGTAAAACACAAAAAACCCCAACAGTGATGCACAATACAGTTGCTCAGCACCTGCTGACTGATGCCAGCTTGTCCCTGAGCAGTGATTGGCACCATCCAGCCAACTTCCCCAGTTTATATACAGAGCATGACGTTCTATGATATAGAATATCCCATTGGCTAGTCTGTCTGGATCAGCTGTCTTGGCTGTGCTCCCTCTTAGCTTCTTGTGCTCCTTTTCACTGGCAGAAGATGAGATACTGAGAAGTCCTTGACTCAGGATAAGCACTACTGAGCAACAACTAAAACATCAATGTGTTATGAACATTATTCTCAGACTAAAGCCCAAACACAGCACTGCACCAACTACTAGGAAGATAATTAACTTTATCCCAACAGGCCAAACTCATCTTTGCTGCAGTGGCAGAGCCTTCAGTTGTTCCTGAGAATCCCAGCACCTCCAGATTACAGCAGGCTTATTTGTAGGCTCTGATGGATGAACTGTATTTCTTCATTTATAAGGCTGTTTTCATGATGCCTCATAACCTGTCAAACCAGATGTCAAGTGTCAGTCTTATAGAGCGTGACAAATAATTTCCATTCTGAGACAGCTTCATGTTGCTGATGTGCCACCAAAGACATCAGATTCTGGCATCCATACTTGATGACAATATGTAAACTCTTCAGTGATCTACATATTGGCTCGGGGACTGACTTTGTTCTTTGCTGCTCAGAATAGCAGTATTTCCTCACCCCTCCAGTGAATGACACGCTTCTCACATTTTTGTGGCGCAGCTTGGTCAAAAGGCTTGAAGGTGTGAAAGAAAAGTAGCAACAAAAAGTTGCATCACTCGTTCCAAACATAACTCGTGTTGGCACTGTTTATATTGTCCTTGTTGTACATGCCAGTGAGCACTTGAGTTTGTCGCGCCGTGTGGCACAATCTGCTCACAGCTGTGCTGCCAAGGATAAACCAGTCTTTTTCTCCTCTCATGATACCCAAGCGTCTTCACGCAGCCAGCCAGTTTGCTCCAGCTTGAGACAGACAGCAGGCGCTGAGGAGACAGTGTGATTAATGCTGAAGACCTGCTCAAACGTGAGATGAAGCTCTAGCTGCAATGGAGCTGTCTTTACAGCCCTTAAAAATCCTGATTGGATGGAAGGCAGCTAAAGATGCAAGTAGTCTCTAGTTGGATTTTTTGAACAAGAACACTTCATTCCACATGAGGAGAGCACAGGGCTTTGAAAAAAAAAGCCACAAGGTACCTTTATATACTTCACTCTCTTTGGAAATAGGACCTTGAGTCCCTGCTTAAAACCCCCTGATGAAATGCTCAGTTTTGTGCAATGGATATGTAGCTGCCAGCAAGAACTGAGCTCATGATTCAGATGGGTTTGTTTTCTCAAAGGTGCCTGGAAGGGACACATCTTAACCAACAGTGGTGTATGTTTGGACTCATACTTTTCTTTCTTCTCCACCATAAGTTTCTTTATGCTTCCTTGAGGCAGCAGGCATGCCCTTCAGTATAATCTGATCTGCTATTCCACAAGCAAACGTAAGTCACATCGTTCCAATGATGGCAACTGAGAGGTATCCATCAATATCTTGCCTATTAATGATATAACACATCCACGAAGTTCCTTCAGGTCCTCCCCACCTTTACCCACAACAGACCCCAGGTGTTGCCTTCTCTCTTCTCTGTTTCTTTGCTCCTAAACTGATGCATTTCCAGCACTGGGAAATGATTTTGTGAATTTTTGTATTTCTTAGAATGACCTTGCTGGCATTTTGACCACAGCATGTGAAAAACCTGAAATGCTTGCAACCTAGTAAGAATGAATTTAATAAATATGTAAATCAATCCATGTTTATTTATAGCCTGGCAGAACTCAAAGACCTAGATTTCAGCCAAAACCTCTGTGTTATCTATTATTTCAAGTGGCTTAACACTTCAGAATCAAAAACACCAGGAGATGAACATGTACAAAAGGACTTTTTTTTATGAAAAAACCCAAAACAACTGAATTACCCATCATTTCCTCCTGTGCTCCAGTTAAAAAAAGAAAAAAGCCTTTTCTCCTTTATTTTTTCCTTGCATGCTTATAAGGCATTAAGCAACACACCGTTGATTATACAAAGGTTGCTCAATATAGGAAGATCTATCTCCATTTCCCCCCATAGCGGCACACAGAAGCTCCATTCAGGTGGGCACAGTGACCCTTTTTGATGGTGCTGCTCTAAGGGCCACTTTGTATTTATTTATATATGTATTATAAAGAATGCCTGGACCAGAGGATTACACTGAGGAGTGAAATCAAATCAGCTTAAAAAGGGGGAAAATAAGAAGCCCCAAAATGAATCCAACACGGAGCTTTCAAATCCTGTTTGTATACTTTTCACTTGTGGGTGGTATTTCCTTTATTCCCCATCAATCATGCCAGCTATTGATATTTCTTCTGTCAGACACTAACAGTATCTGACTGACTGACATTATCTGTCTATTGACTGCCTTGCTTTTCAACCTTTTTGGATTTGCAGCCCCCCTAAGCATTTTTCAGCTGAGGAATTTAAGCTAACTGACAAGGAGCATTAGTCAGAGTTACTCTTCATGGACCCCTCAGAAGTAAACTGGAAACCTCAGAAGCCTTAGGTGGATAACCCTGAGTCTATAGGATAGATATTTACATAACACCATTGATGTTTTAGGTGTCATCAGTCTCTAGCTCGACGAAATAATCAATAAGAAACTTGGCACAAAATGCAGAATGAGATTGTTTTGGGCATGAAGAAGCCAAATCTATACCTAGATCCATCTTCTGTCTTACTGGGCTGAGACAGGCTTTCCAAGGGGAGCATTCTCTCGTTCAGGAGGAGAGATGTGATCCAAGCATCATTTACACCCTGTGTAGGTGGATAAAGAGGAATTAGGACAGTCTCTCCAACCTCTCACAATCATGAGAGACTTCATCTTAGTTAGATCCCATTTCTGTACTGAACGGTTACCTCTTGAGCTTGATTTACACTTTATTTTGCACCTAAAGTAGTATGGGAGATATATGGTCTTGGGTTCCTCACTGCCAGTGAATTGCACTTCCCTGAATCATGCTAATTTGATGTGTGTTTCCATGTAGCCACCATTTAACATGCAAGCTGTGATTTGGATAATTCCTAGGGGCTTACTCTTC